TTACCGTTGCTTCTGCTGCCACGACTCTACTGTTACTACTTCTACTAATACTACTATTACTACTGCAACTACTACTGATTTTGCTGCTGATAGTATTGATACTACTACTTCTACTGGTACTAGTACCAGTACTACTATAAATACTGCTATTACTATCATCACAACTACTACTACTGTTACTATTACCACTAATGATTCTATTTCTAACAATATTGATATTACTACTTCTACTTTACTACTATTAGTACTACAACAACAACAGCTGCTACTACTACTACTACTATTGATGTTACTGCTACTACTTCAGTTATTAATACTACTACATCTATTACTATTACTGCTTTTGCTACTACTACTACTACTATTATTAATACCGTTACTACTACGACTACTGTTACTATTACTGCTACTATTACAACTAGTGCTACCATTACTGATAACTACTATCACTACTACAAATACTAATACTACTGCTGCTGCCTCTGCTACTACTTTTATTACTTCTACCACTACTACTATGTCTGCAGTTACCATTACTACTGCTACTAATATTCCTGATGCTACTACTGCTGCTACCACAACAGCATCATCAATAACAAGTACTCTTGCTACTCCTACCCCTACTATTACTGCCATTACTGTTGCTACCGTTACTACTACTGATACTATTGTCACTGCTGCTTCAACTACTAGTCTTATCACCGCTACAACAACAACAACTACTACTACTACTACTACTACTATTACCGTTGCTTCTGCTGCCACGACTACTACTACTACTAAAGACTATGTTCCACCACACCCTCCATCATGCATTGAAACTCAACGCCTAATTCTCACTGCTAAGGCTACCTACGACCACCACCACTTCTCCTAGGACTACGGCCACGACTCCTCCAGACAGAGCTCAGCCAGGGACGACCTTGGCCACGACCCTGTCCTTCAGCGCTTCCTAGACGGAGCTCCTCCTTTCACTGTCTTCCCTCGCCGGGACCTTTTTAATCCCACCTGCGTGCTCGTGGCCGGTGCTCATTGCTATTGTCATCTTTTGGAGTTGTCGTTGTTGTTGTTGTTTCTGGTGTTGTTGTTGTTTTATCATCAGTCATTGTTAGTTGTTATTACCGTTATTATTGTTATGGTATTGATATTACTGTGCTGATTTTATGAATATGATAATAGATGTAGTTATACATATTGTCGCTATTTTCCCATGATTGTACTTATTCACATCAAATATCAGCAGCAGCAACACTGACATCGTCATTATTGTTATTCTTGTTATCCTTATCATCATCATTATCATTAACAACAATCTTATCTCGTCGCTTAGCTTTCACAAAGACCAATTTATCTATTAATTAATTGTCCTAGTTAAATGGCCGACAGTTTAGATATAAATTTTGTAACACTGAAATACCCCATCTTTTCTAGACTCACCATGATTATTCTCGATCCATTATTTAGAGAAGTACTAACTCCACGCCTAGCAGTCCATTTATCTCTCGCCTTTCGCCACACACACACATTAAACGACAAAGCAAAATTTCGTTCCATCCTTGCGGCTCTTCCCTCAACGCCTGCCTCTTCCTCCTCCAGGCGAGCTGCCACATGTCGATGCAGGACCCCCCAGCGAGGAACGTCATGTGGAGGATGGGCTTCAACGCCCTCCCTGAGCATCGCGATGACGACTACCTCATCTGCAACGAGAACGGCGGTCGTAAGTGCCCTCCTTGTGGTGACAGCATCGACAGCCCGCCCCCACACCCCCACGAGGCAGGGGGCGTCTGGGCCACAGGCATCATCACCAGGACCTACAGCGAAGGAGAGGTGAGAGAGGAGGGGAAGGAAAGCTGGTAGAGGAGGGAATGGAGAGGGAGGGAGAATGAGAGAGAGTATGAGACAGAGGGAGAGATATGGAGAGTGTGAGAAGGAGTTAAATGGAAGGGGAAGAAGAGAGATAGAGATAGATAGATAGATAGATAGATAGATAGAGAGAGAGAGAGAAAGAGTGTGTGTGAGAGAGAGAGAGAAAGAGAAATTACTAATTAAGAAAAAAACTGAAATAAAACACAGGAATCGCAAAATGAAGAAATTTCATATCAAAGATAACACAGCTCTAAAGAAAAATAAGGAAAGAAATAGAAGTAAAAAAAAATTAGACAGCAATAACAAGAACGAACAACACAAAACACGTCCTTTAATTCCACTATTCTCCCTTCCTCACGTGCCAGACCATCGAGGTGCACGTGAACGTTACCCGAAGCCACGGTGGTTACGTTCAGCTGAAGCTCTGCCCAAACAACGATGTCAACACCCCCGTGACCCAGAGCTGCCTTGACCAGTGAGTATTTTTCAGTCCAGATGTCCGTCTTGTGCTTAGATCTTATTTTCATCATTGTTCTCGACGTAGGTAAATGATATTTCTGAAATGCTAATTCTGTGTCTAGGTTATTAACATTAATTACCATGGCTGTACATGTTAGAAGTCGATAAGGTTTTA